ATAGAATGCTGATAATTAAATAAAATTTAAAGTTTTATTCAATTTTAGTTCCTTCTTTCCAATTATCAAGTATTGTATGATATCTATGGGTGGTTTCGTTTCACGTATGGTGCGAATGATGTACCATTTCATCTTTCTTTAGTATTCGGTAAATGACAAGGATAAAATTATACATCTTGCGCATCGTGTGTGAAACGGAATAAGGACTAATATTCCTCTATTTAATATAGTATATTAATTAGCCTATCCATACCTATTGTCCTGCCTACCCGCATTTTTATTTCGTGCCTATTCGCCTATATATAAGAGGGATGACCTAAACGCGATACTAAACGAAAAAGAAAATTTTAGAAATGTAAGAACTCGCAATTTAGATTGCGAGTTCTTATATTTCGACAATTTTGCCCTCCCAAAAGTGATTACCCTCCCAAATATCAAGAGACACGGTAGTGTCTCGACACTAAGACCATTCAACTTACATTTTATATTTACCTTCGTACCTTTGATTGGTGTTACATACCAACCTACCTTTGTAGATCCTCTTCGTCTTCTTTCTTCTGGCCAAATTAAACTAACCTTTTGATGATCTTGGCCAATAATTTCTGGCTTCGTATACCAGAAATCGATATAAAAAGGAGAAACTCCTTTTTGCCTGCCGACTATCACCGGCAATAAGCGTAAAATTTTTACGCTTTCGTTCGATGCGCGAAACACGGACGCGTCGCGAAGGGCCATCATATTAATGAAATTAATTGTACTAAACGAAAATAAATTGTTAATGAGATATTATAATATTTTCATTAATATACGATTAAATTTTGTATCTATTCTTTATTCGCGCTTCTGCGTAATTAAATATGTATCTATTTACTAAAATATATTTATCTGATTAAAAATAAATGTAAATTAAAAAAATCTTTATTTATATACTGATCTGATTCAAAAAAGCTCTATCGCGAATATTATGAAATTTAGATTTGTTTTTTACGTAAACTTTATAAAAT